CAAGGAAACTAGTTGTGGTTCCGCCAAAGAAGTCAATCTTTGTCTCTAGGTTTTGGAGAGACACTACAGAAGACGATATAAAGCTTTATATCTCATAAAAAATTACAACTGTCAACCTAAGCATCAGAAAAGTAATTTTAAATACGAAAGAAATATTGCTTCATTTAAAATTGACGTAAATTTAGATAATTTTAATGCGCTGCTTAGTGGTTCTTTTTGGAGTTTTCGTTCGTGAATTCGAATATAGGCCCAAAAAAGGAAATAACTTAGCTAATATTCCCCGTCATAACAATGACTCAAAAAACTAATTATTATTTTTATTATTGTTTTTGATTCAATGTTATGACGGGGGAAAAAAACTAATTATTAAACGATCTCACGATGGTCGGTTCTACGTTCACACACCCCCGAATACACAATTTTTTCATCATCGGAGCAGCACTTTCCGGCAACTCTGCTCCGAATTCTCCTCGGCCGCGCCGGAATCGAAAAAAAAACTTGGGACTTACACGTGCAGTGTCTGCGAACTCAGAAAACACCACCGCTCTATATCGGTGCGCTGCACAAATTGCAATCGATGGTGCCGTCTCAGACAGTGCTCAGGCCTCAACAGCCACAGAGAATGGCAAGCAAACTTCATCGAAGCCTGCTGCCAGCCAACAACCACCGCAACGCGCAACCAACAGCCAGGCACATAACCTCAACGTATCACATCAAATGCAACATTACTCAGCAATGCAAATGCAAACACATAACCTCAACGTATCACACCAAATGCATCATTACACAGCAATGCAAACGCAGACCAGAGGGCAACGCACGCAACCACACCCACATGCACATCCCGCAACCCAAGAGCGGCAAGAACCTAGCACCACCAACAGGCAAGTCTGGCTGTGTTGTGTATGCAGCAACCGCATACATGGCAACGCCACGTCCGTTCAATGCAGTGGCTGTGAAGGATGGTGCCACTTCCGCAATTGCTCATTCCTAAACAGCGCACGTGACCGCTTACCCAACTATCTGGCTCCCTGCTGCACTGTACCCAACTATAATCAGCAACCACCAACACCACTCAGCAAGCTAACCCTACGTATTTGCAACCTCGGACGTCAGTGCGAGCAACTACACAACAGCCGCACCAGCAACCTGAAAGCCACCACAGACAAAACCAACAACCCCAAATTCGGATCAGGACATGCACGGTATGTGCAACCCAGATCCGCGCCAACGCAGCATCTGTTCAATGCAACAGGTGCGAGGGCTGGTGTAACTTCCGCAGCTGTTCGAGGCTGAGAAGGCTACGCGACCACTCCAGTGCCTACGTCGCCTCCTGCTGCTCCCGGCCACCAAACACGACCCAGGCGGCCACACCACATACCCCCGCCCTACTTCCCCTCCAAACAATACCACCTTCACAGCAAAACCAGTCTACACTTACACCAGCGGCCCGAACAAACCAACCCAGCTCCATTGCCATTATGCACATCAACATCAACGGCNGCCGCGCCGGAATCGAAAAAAAAACTTGGGACTTACACGTGCAGTGTCTGCGAACTCAGAAAACACCACCGCTCTATATCGGTGCGCTGCACAAATTGCAATCGATGGTGCCGTCTCAGACAGTGCTCAGGCCTCAACAGCCACAGAGAATGGCAAGCAAACTTCATCGAAGCCTNAATCGAATGCCAGGGTATAGCCGTTACTTCAGGCCACACAGCACGTCTACATTCCACCCATCACCAGTTGTGCGCCAGGATACCATCCAGATATCAGCCCCATACTCATCGGAGATAACACGCTAGTGATTGGCGACTTCAATGCGCATCACGAGCTCTGGCACTCCATCCAACCTTGGCAACGACCAACGGGGTATAGCGCTATCAGAGCAAATCGATGACTCCACCTTCTGCTGCCTGAATGGCGACGCCCCAACGGGACTCACAGGCGCTTGCAGCAGCTCGCCTGACTTATCCATCGCAAGTTCAAACTTAATCAACTGCACCACATGGCGAGCCATGATCTCGTTGTCCTCTGACCACCTTCCCGTCAACGACTTTATAGTCTCCGAGCGCCGTACATATGAGTCAAACCACGCCAACTGTGTCAATAAATTNAGAATCTGTAGATAAATATAGGACAAAAATACAATTGCAAAACAATTAATTCTTTAATAACAATAATTTAAACAATTGCAATTATTTCTTTACTCTAGGCCCGCGATTGCAGTGAAATTTTGGCACAATATACTCTAACCTCTTGTTTTTAAGTACCAAAAAGAAAAAATTGGTCTTTCCAATTTTGACAGTCGCTATCGATTTTTTTGTCACCTTTAAGCGTTGAGTAAAGGGTGAACACACCAAAACTTCGACACTTAGAGATTACTACCAGAAACAAACTAGAAGGCTTTGAAATATGTTATTAAAATGTTAAAATTTTGGTTCCATATGCAAGTGATCGGTATTTTCATCGCACACGCGACTTCATGTTCTGCACGACTGCATCATTGACTTTACGCGATGCGCACAACTACTTTGTTTTTTACTGTTTCACCTGTTTTTTTTACTGTTTCACCTGTTTTCTTTCAAGATTCTTTTGACAATTGACCAATATTCCCCAATAGGACGTAGCTCTGGGCTATTGGGTGGATTGCAGTCGGTAGGTACAAAATTGATGTTATTTGCATTATACCTCGGCAATGTGTCCTTGGCATAGTGGCAGCTTGCCATGTCCGCCTAGAACAGAGGCCTTCTACCTTATATGTTGATAAATGACAGAAGGCGCCTTTTGAGGCATTCGTCCCGATAAACTTGATCATTCATTGTGCAGGATGGGAAAAAGGGCTGCTCTTACCGCCACTGGAACAAATAGCTTGCCAAACCATGTTGTTTTTTTTTGGAAATTGGGACTTCATTTTCAGCTTACAGCTTTCAGGGGCTTCTTGACGACTTGCAGCAGTATACAAATCTTGACCTGCAATATATTTTGAATTTTTAAAGCAGTAGGTTTCGTAATCCATACCAATGCAGTTGTATTTTTTAATTTGGAATTCATACAACTTCCGACTGCGGGATTTCGCTGTATCATTCTACTTTGCGCCTCGGTCTGGCGCTGTTTGATCTGTAGAACATCTCAGTGAAGCTTTCCGCTTTACCTTTTGTACGAAAAACTTGCGATCTTCGTACGGATTTTGCAACATAACGCGACAAAACCTTTGGATCTCGCGAAAACGCACTGAGGACCTTCCGAGCACTGTTTTTATCACTTTGACCATGCCAACCCCCGCTCCCTGGTTCTCTCGTAACTGTCAGGCCTTATTTGCACCCGTTAACACCCTGCAAACTGTCGAATAGTGTAATCTTTAATTTTTACAGTTTTACGTGTACTTAAGGCCGGATCATTTATAAGCTCGTGCAAAATGGTTTGTCTCGCTTCTAACTCGGTTGCCATTTTCAGCTCAACTAGGAATCAATTTCAAATGAAATTTCTTCTACGTCCAACTAAGGTCATGGTCAACTTATGGTATTTAAATCTCAAAATATTGAGATCTTTTTGGGTAAGTTATAAGCTTCCCAAAGTGTCGCAGTTTTGGTGTGTTCACCCTTTAAATAGCAATTTTCATTTAAGCTTGTGTGAGTGATAGCATTTATACGTTAAATAATGTNCTCAAAATATTGAGATCTTTTTGGGTAAGTTATAAGCTTCCCAAAGTGTCGCAGTTTTGGTGTGTTCACCCTTTAAATAGCAATTTTCATTTAAGCTTGTGTGAGTGATAGCATTTATACGTTAAATAATGTACGCAATGTATAATTATTCATTAATTAACATAAAAATTCTATCACTCACACAAGCTTAAATGAAAATTGCTATATAATCAACGCTTAAAGGTGACAGAAAAATCGATAGCGACTGTCAAAATTGGAAAGACCATTTTTTTTCTTTTTGGAACTTAAAAACAAGAGTTTAGAGTATATTGTGCCAAAATTTCACTGCAATCGCGGCCTGGAATAAATAAATAATTGCAATTGTTTAAATTATTGTTATTAAAGAATTAATTGTTTTGCAAATTTTATTCCGAAAATCTTTCTATTGTAAAGGGAAAAGCTTCAGCAACTCACAAAAAAAATTTCATCAAACTTCATCAAATGGGTCGCGAGTTACGAATTTTTCTCTCAAAAACTGCAATATTCTTATAATACAAAAAAAGAAAAAACCAAGTGCAATTTCGAAAAACCGTCCAAAGTGTATTTTTGTTCTATAATTATCTACAGATTCCCACAATTGTCTTCACTTTCCAGAAAATCAATGGAAATTCAATGACACAGTTGGCGTGGTTTGACTCATATGTCAACATCAAAAAGGGCAACTGGGACGGCTTCAGAGACTACGTGAACACCCACTTAGGTGCCCTACCAACTCCACCTGATGCTCGCATAGCCGAGCGCAAATTCCGCACGGTCCTAAACGCGGCAGCTGCCCGCTTCATCCCAGCCGGACGTATACCGGAGATCCGAAGCAACTGACACACCACCAACATTCACACCCAACGAAGTACAAGGCGCGATTCGCAAGGCCAAGGCATCGAAATCAGCCGGCCCAGATGGCATCCCCATGCTGATGCTAAAGCAATTGAATGCCCCGGGAAGGGAATACCTCACCAAATTTTAAACGCCTTACTATCCACACACACCATCCCAGAGATATGGAAAAACGGGCGAGTAATACCCCTTCAAAAACCTGGGAAGAACGCAGGGATAGGCGAATCCTACAGACCGATCACACTCCTCTCTCCGGTGGCCAAAACCCTAGAAGCGTTACTCCTCCCGCAACTGACTCAACACCTGCATCTTGCCTCACATCAGCATGGATTCAGGAAGCTACACAGCACCACTACTGCACTAAACACCATCGCAGCGCAAATTACTGACGGTTTGAATCAAAAACGCCCCTGCGCCCGCACCATCCTAGTGGCACTAGACCTATCAAAGGCCTTCGATACCGTCAACCATGCAACACTTACAGAGGACATCATATCGTCCTCCCTACCGCCACACACAAAACGTTGGATTGTTAGTTACCTCTGCGGGAGGCAATCATCTGTAGTATTCAGAAACACAACACCACCACAGGGAGTCTCCTTAGTGTCATACGCGGATGACTGTTCCATCATGGCAACGGGCAACAACATCGACGGCATGTGCACACTGCTCAACCGCTACCTCGAGGAGGTATCCAGATTTTTCACAGCGCGCAGCTTACAAATCTCGGCCGCTAAGTCAACAGCTACACTCTTCAACAAACGTGGACAAAAGAGGTGAGGCTCGAACTGAACTTGTTCGTTGGCGGAGTCAAGATTCCGGCAGTCAACCGCCCAAAGATACTAGGCACGTTGGACAGTCTCATGTCCTTCGCAGCACACAACCACCACAGTTTGCAACAAACTGTGAAGCAGAAATAAAGTCCTCAAGTCGCTCGCCGGCAGCACTTGGGGAAAAGATAAGGAAACTCTGCTCGTGACATACAAAGCGATCAGCCGGTTCGTTGCAAACTATGCCGCCCCAGTGCACAGTGGTCAATAAATGGAATTTAATGTTCATAATTCACTGGAGCCTTCATTTCTCAACCGATTTGATTAATTATTTTTTTAAATGAAAGCTAATAAAATTTTCAAGAGACTAGTCGAGCCCAATTTTCGAATTTTTATTTGTTTGTATTAAATTTTTTAGTGCAAAGTGCAGAAATTGTGCCAATATTGAAGAAGACCGATTCTCCTGTTCCAGCTAATAAAAGTTTCACAATAAAAACTAGTTAAAAACAATTGTAGGGTTCTCCTAAAACAAAAAAAAAATTAAAAAGTAATAATTAGTAAACATAACAAACGCTTTTATTTCCCATTTAGCATGCAGATGTGCTCGAAATGTTAGCGAAAAAATTATTAAAAATCAACGCGAACTCTTAGCGACTT